TGCTCCAAAGCAGTAAAATTAAAGGGTTAGTAAATTGCCCTAGCTCTCCCTTTGCTACCTTACCATAGGTAGCAGGAGTTCTTCATCTTGGGACATGGACAATAGGCAAGCACTATGGCATTAACAAATAGCTTGGCGGCCTGGGGACGCTTTCTTGCACTACTACAAAGTTTCCACATCAGTTCAAGCTAAGCTGCTAATGTCTCAGCGCATGGTTTGTAAAATACGGATTCTCACAGACACTGGGAGAATAAATACTCAAGAAGTGGGAGAAGAGCATTCACAGTAGCCACCACCAACACAGAAGCAGAGGGCCTTTATCTCCATGGAGGTGTACAACAAAGACCGTCATGAGGAATAACTAAAGGAGGACCCAGAAACTGTTCACTAGGTTTGAACCCATCTAAACCAACTGCAGTTCTCCTTGTAAAGCATCAACACTTAATCACAACAGAAGTAGCAGGGAAAAACTACATATTTTTATTAATTCCCAGAAAGTCCACGTTTTCTGCCCCTTCTCCAACAGTTAGTGTTTGCCTACCACACACCACCCATGTACCAATCACGCAACAAGCAAAGAAAGGTCAAAGACATCTCACACACGATGCAGAGAGGTCCCAAAGTACTGCTGTGTCCTTTGCTGGCAACCTCTGAAGACAAAGCGCTTGAACAGGACAGCAAAAGAGATCCCAAAGCACGTTCAGACCCTCCTTCTCCAGAGCTGCAGGCCGTCAGAACAGTTTTTGGCGGATCAATTCCTATTTTATAAAGGCACAGCTGACATCATTTTCTGCTTTACTTTTTGTCTAAATATTGCTGGTTAGAGAATCAGCTGATGGACTGTAAAACTGACAGCCTCATTACTGGCGCTTATAAATTGCTTTTGCTCAGCTGGAGTCAATGTAGGACCATCTGACTTCCCAGAATTGACATTTTTAATGATTCCCTTTCTGCAGCAGTTTCTCACCGACCACTACAAAAATCCAAACTGTCTCTCTTGCTCTGCCAAGCTGTTTGTGGATCAAGCTACTCATTCCCTAGGGATTTGCAGTGTGTCAGCCATCAGACCAAGAAAACAATAACAACAGACCTGAGCACAGCTACTCCAGTTCTTCCAGGCTCTTCTGTACTATAGATTTTAGCGTTAAATGTCAAAATTCTAAAGGCCAGAGGACAGATGCATCCCCAGGAGAAAGACTTACACGCAAAGTATTTTAAAGATGGAAAATGCCAGCTGTAAAAGTTTGGTGCTTAGATGGTGTACCCTCACCTTGCACTCCGTTGGGTACTGTTATCTTTCTTCAAGTCTTCCTTTCCTGCACCATATCCCACGTCAAGCAGAACACCTTGCCCCTCTAAACCAGATTTCACTCACACAAGATGGGAAATTCTTCACATCTTGGCACTATTTGGTGAAGGAAGGGAGGTGCAGAGCTCTTCCCGGTGATGCCCAAGGACGCGCGCCGTGGGCTGAGGCAGGCGGGAGCACAGTGCCCCTGACCCAGCTGCACACAGAACTGCAGCTCCCCCCTCCAGGAGCTGCATCCGGCGACGTTCAGTGGCTACAAAGCCGTCTTATAATTAAAGTCAAGTTAATTTTAGCTTTAGAAGAAAAGCACTTAAAGGAGATGGATTTCAAAGAGGTAGCTTTAGATGAAAAGCACTTAGAGAAAAGGGATTGCAAAGAGAAATAGTCCATGCACACGTCCAGCAGATCTAAAGCTTCTTCATGGTGAGTCTGGTCTCTCCAGGCGCCCCAGCAGAACCATGTGGGCAGGTCTCCTGGACCCCTGCCAGGTTTGGGGGATTTCTTCTGTTCTTCACAATCCTCCTCCTGCTGACACCAGCTATATGTTTTTTCCACCCTTCCTGTTCTCCCTCATACACCCCATAAAGAAACATGTAACCAGGACCAGGTATGGACACAGCAGTAGCCCAGCACGTGCCCAGGGCTGGGGAACCAGGACAGCATCTCCCATTCCCCATGCACTCCCAGCAAACGGGCCCTTCGAACACCCGGGTTCCGCTCCTTGCTTGGCCTCAGGTTTTCAGTGTGAGCTCTTGCAAGTCCTTGGTTTAATTTGTGCCTCTAAAACAGAAATAATTTCCCTTCATCTTAGGAGCACTGTGGACATCAGCACATTGCAGATGGTGAAGGAAGTAATATCAAAGAGCCATTAAGGTCGTCTAGACAGAAAAAGAATAAATGGCTCTTTACATAATTGTTTACCTGGTAGAGTAAGAGGGGTGAGTCATAAGCAGAGAGACTGATCCCACCATGTCCCCCCTCTTCTCACCTACCGCACCACTAACCATCTAACTCCTAAAGATGAACTCAGCTCGGCCACAGCCTCATCCTCTCCCTCATGGCTGCTTGCACAGACTGCAACAGCTTAAATATAAAAGGCAATCCAAGATGTTTGGATCTGGTGAGACGTAACCCAGCCAGGCACTTCCAGAGAACACAGAAATTCACATCTGCCCAGTCCTGCAGGTGCTCGGACTTGGCGCTCTGCAGCTGACCCAACCCGACTGGCTTCACAGGGGGTTCCTCCAATTTGTGTGAGGGTCAATAAAACATAAGTTAGGGAGAAAAATCCTGCCTTTTGCCACACAGTCAATTTATTCCACGTCTGAAATTTTTTGAAAGGTGGCCTTTCCAAGGTCTAAGAAAGAGAGAAAGTGGTGGAAGATGAGGGCTGCAGGATGATGCAATATTAAACATCAGAAACTGAAGTGAGCCCATATGTTCAGAAGCAGATCTCTGGAACAGATACTACGAAGTGCATCCTCCAGCATGGCTCTACCTACGGCAAGGAGACCTCCTAACAGCTGCTATTACACAAGGAGTGTTAAAGCTAGATATTGTTTCATAGCCCAGGCCTGCTTATTTTTTGTGCACAGTTATTACAGCCTCTCCAGCCAGAGAGGTTTACTGCACACCAGGGACAGCTTCAGCCTCTGGGCACTGCTATCTCACGTGCCTCATTTACCAATGCATCTTATCTCCTACCCTGAGCCTCTTCCTCCAGCAGCGAAGACAGTAGGGCTGGGAACGCATCTGTGACTCCAGTTCAGACCCTCATCAGCTATGAAGAGAGCTGTGCCTGATGCCTTACGCAGAACAACCTTCCCCATAGCCCCAAAGTTCATAGCAACAGCCTATGCCATACACAACAGCATCTTCAGCAGACTCTAGACACCCTTCCAGACAAACTAACCATTGCTTTGCACCCTGCTCTGGGAAGGGGGCTTCCATCAGAGTCCTCTGGAGACCCTAGCCAGATGACATTGCATCTGCCACCCTAGCTGGGATGGTTAAATGTACCAAGATCCCTGAAGAGACATCAGTGCCTTCTTCCTGCACGCTGCACAATGTGATGGCTGGGGTGTGGGGACACACCTCGGAGTCTGCAGAACACTTTACAAAGCACTGGCACCCTTAGCCAGGACTGAATAATTCAGAGGCAAAGCTCTGCCAAGCTACCCATGCTAGTACTTATGGTCTTGAACCAGGCAAATAGTTTCAGACAGTCAACGGCGCAATGCTACCTTCTCACTATTGCTAGAAGTCGTACAGAGCTCACCAAGCCAGCCCATTGCACCCAAGTGAAGAGAATATGCTGCTCCTCTCATGCTTTCTCTCAAGGCACCACTAAGATCCTGCACCAAGGAAATAAGATGAGAACACACAGCTGCTGATGCGACTCCTATCATGTTCCTATGTTTCATACGCTTTTCCCCCAAGCGCTGTCCTGTACCTCTTCAATCCAGCTTGCCAAAGCCAACTACAAAGCCATTAAACACTTCTAATTATTCCCCACGCCCAGCTCCAGTCCGCCCCGACGGGACAACAGGACACGTGAAACAGACCTGACATGGAAACCATCCAACACGATGTTTTTTGAGGAAAAGTTAGGGGGACAGGGAGATACCAAACCCAATGCAAACTCAATCTGCCCTCAAAGAGCAACCCTCCCACAGAGTTCGTGAAATAAGCACTTTGATTCAATCCAAAGGAAGCTAACAACACTAAAGCAGGCTGGAAACAGCATTACAGGGGAAGAACTGACAGGTTAAATCAGAATTTAACATCCAGGGGAAGTGATAGTTCTCAGAACACAGCATATAAAAGAGTTTTGGGGTTTCTTTCTTTGATGGCCCTCTCAAACCAGCTAGTTCTCTAAAAGTCAGACACAGAGATTTTCTGGATAGAAGTGGTTCAGCTCCCACCACTTCACCTGAAAGGTTCCCGCTGCTTTTGATGGGGCTTGGCTTGGAAATCGAGTATGCTGGGAAATGACTCCAGTGCCCCTAGCCAAGCTGGGCAAGTTCCGTTCTAAACTCTGCCTTGTCCCACACCAGTTTTGACTTGCATCAGATGGACATCACACATATAAACAGTGATAAGCCATTCTTAAGTGGAATAAATTAGTCCAGTCATAAAACACAGGGCCAATATGTACAGTGGGAATAAAGTGTAGAAAGCTTTATAGAGGCTTTGCAGGTTTGTCCTGCTTAACACTGCCAGCACAGGGCCCCATGTCTGGACCACACACCCCGTAAAAATGCTGCTGAAGCAGCAAATGGGCTGATTAGCAGCTACCCAACTCGTTTTGTCCTCACAGGACGTATATCCCTGCACAAACCCATCTCAGGCAAAGGGAATTGACATTTCCCCAGGAATCTCACCTGAGAAGTTATTTATTTGTTCACTCTTGGAACAAGACAACACTAAGCTCTCAGAATGAAGGAGCAGGTCTGGAGCATTCAGAGCAGCTCTCCCCAAAATGAAAACTCAGGTCACGGTGCCTGGGACCCATCCCAGTTCAACCAGTTGTCACTGGTGGATGGGGTTTCCTCAGAAATGAATCTGCTGTGTGTTTAGCTTGAGAACCAACCCGCGAGACTTCCCAGCACAAGGGTCTGTCCCATGCAAAGTGAAGAGCAGGAGACATGTCCTCTGTGCGGGTAAAGGAAGAAGAGGCTTTTTCTCTTACCCAGACCCTGGTTCTGCTGCTCCCACTCGATGGTGTCGGGAACCTGGTAGGACACTCCGGCCAACTGGGCCACAGGGTTTTCCAGGCCAGCTATGGGATCCTGGGAAGTCTCGCCTGGAAGCGTGAAACCTGGCAGCTCCGTGTCACCCTCCATGCTTTCATCCATCGAATCTATGTCTTTGTCTTCCTCATCTTCCTCTTCCTCCTCTTCTTCTTCCTCCTCCTCTTCATCTTCTTCCTCTTCCTCACCCTCTGGCCAGGGAGACACAAAAGCAACATCAGGAAAGATCACACAAGACAGAAAGGTCATACATCTCAATAGGTGAGCACCAAGGCAGCCAGCCAACACCACTTCTCCAAAGGCAGACCAGCTGAATCTACTTGTGCCTGTTTTCTACCAGGAAACACACCCAAAGGGGTTAATTTGGAAGAGCTCACCACCATTTGAAGTTGCTAAGTAACAACAAGATGTTGCCTCAAGAGTCTCAAATGCATTAGTGGGAAATAGTGATTTTTCTTCCTAATAGCAGAGTACAAACAAGCACGAGCATGCGTACAGATACCTGAGTACATGTAACTACAGTGCTCTCTGCTCAACTAATTTCAGCTCAAGTAAGAACTATTTCCCTGATTTCTAATCTTGGAGGCAGCAATAAGTTGGTTCTGCTTTTAACTTTTACGAAGCTCTGGAAAGGATGCTGCTTTCCAGCCCAAGTAGACTCATGCCGCCCCTCCTCCAGAACAAGCTTTGACATGTGCTGGCAGATCAGCTCTTGGGTGCGGGAGAGCAGCGGTGATGGTAGTGATCCTCAGCAGGTTCCTACCACAACAGATTTACACCAGACAAAGGTATGACCAAGGAAGACTTAACTCGGTACTGGAAAGAAGGCGGCACAGCCAATACTTCATGTGAGAGCAGATAAATGTGATGCTGAGGATACCACTGTGGATTCTCCACTAGAGCAGATACTCGTCTTATTCCAAAGCTGACTGTACTGTTAACATATGGAGAGATAAATATTTAAGCCATATTTCATTATCAGAATCTAAAATGGCAACACAAGAACAACCATACTGGATCAAACCAAAGGTCCTTTCTGCCCGCTTCCTATTTCTGACCACAACTAGCCGCAGATGCTGAAGAAAGACAAGAGCAGGGCACACACAGAGCCAGTCTTCCCACAGTCACTCTTCCCAGCTTTTAGTTATCAAAGACCCAAGGACTTCCTGAGCCAGAATCTGTATCTGAGCTATTTAACAGCTACTAATGGAGCTACCCACCACGAAAAGGTAGTATCTGGAATAATGACATGTTTTGAATTTCTGATAGTTAGTTTTTCAAAGCTGAAAACTAAACCATAATATTTATGTGCTTTATCTACTTTACATGAAGCTCTGCTCAGCCCTATAGAAAAACTCCCTCCTGATGTACTCCGACTGGGAGAGCCCATCACCCTGCATCTGAGGAGCTGGTTTAGCCAGGGGTCCAGGACCATGTTAAAAAGTAATGATCCAGCGAAATCAACATTTGTTATCTAGCTATCCCCTGATTTCTGTTGGAGTTGTACCTCCTATAGGTTACGGACACCGCAATAAGATGAAGCAGCTGAGGTAGGACACCTGAAGGGCCGCACATATCATACCTGCTGTAAGTAAAGCAGGTGATCCTTCACTCTTCTCCTTTCTGCAGTGGGATGCAATGGCATCTGTTCCACAAAACACCCGAGAAACGAACTGGGGAACTTTGGGGAAGCTGTTTAGTTGGTGGCTACCCAACTTCAGTTAACTGGGGGGAGCTGGCCTCCTTCCTTTGGACTGTACTTCACAGATTGGAATACCCAGAGAAATCAGTGCACATTATAAAATCACAGCTTTCACTGTGCTGTTACATGGTATCTCCTCTCCTTCTGATTCAAGGATTTGCTTTAAAACACTGCATGTTTTTTCCAGCTCACCAGACAAGATAATCTCACTTGCCACCTTTCAATTCCAGCCCTACGCTTCATACAAATGACCTGCTGTTCGAATTCAGCTGCATCATCCTGCTATAGCACGGCTTCCAGTACCTGGAAAGGAATGATCACTCCTGCAAACAATTTTACCACGCAGAGCATCTAATGGAGCTTACGGGGATGTAGTTACCCCCTTAAATTCTCATCACATTTTATAGGCAGTTTCTGTCTTATAATGTGCCCATCATTTCAAATCAACATAAGAATTTTCTCTATCAAACCGCATGTTTCCATACAAAATACACAACTTCCGTAAACCTGAGAATGGCACCCGGAGAATGCTTGCAGGAAGCCTGCAAAGACAAGTTAATGTAGGCCTTTTGCCTCTGCTGAGAGCAACACAGCTATAAACATTTCCAAATCTTAATAGCAAAGACACTAAACAGCGAGCGCACCGGAGAGGAGGAATATGAACAGAGGTTTTCCCTAGATGCAGCCAAGAAGAAACAGGGATCAGATATTTATCTCGGAAAAACTAGTTTGGGACAAGGTTTTTAAAAGCTTCTTCTGGTTCTAGCAAGCCATATCAGAGACACCTGCCTGGATCTAGTTTTGAAGCAGCAGCTAGCCATCTCCGTACCTCCAAAGTCTAGCAGGCAGCCAAGCTGAACGCCCAAATTGAAAGTGCCAGGACTACTTAACACATCTAATCATCACCAAGCCACATCAATCATCACGCAGCCACAGCAGAAAGATGTGAATAATGTAACCCTCGTAGCACAACCGCTGTGAGGGGAAAAGAAAAGCTCTTAACCTGTTTCCTCCTCCTCCTCTCTAGCTCATTCTTGCTGCTGAAAACAGCTTTTTTTTTTAACCCCCCATCCCAAAACGCCAGCAGCTCGCCCTGCTGCAAGGTGCAGTGCAGAGCACCACTTGGTGGTCACAAGGAGGAAGGTACACTTCTGAAAACATCACAGACTTCACAGATTTTGGATTGCAGGAGCATAGGTGCAACAGAAGCCCGGCAGCCATAGGCAGGTTGCTCATAACAGTCTCAGAAGATGGAAAATGGGAGCGAGTATCACACCGCTGAACCTCAAACTGGAGGTTTGTGCCTCACATAACAGCCTTTTACAAAGATCACGTATTCCCTCCTAAATTGGCACTTTTTGCCCTTTTAGAGGCCTCAGCAGCAGCGTTAAAAAAAAACAAAGAGACTAAAACTAGCAAGGACTAAAAGTGCAAAGCCCAGCAGATTCAGAGGGCATTCAGATTTTCATGTGCATTTGCAGCCCTTTATGAACTATTTTGTGTATCATAGAATCATTTAGCTTGGAAAAGACCTCTAAGATCTTCGAGTACAACTGCAAACCTAAGCCACCAACTCCACCACCACGTCGCTAAGCACCACATCTACACATCTTCTAAATATCTCCAGGAATAGAGAAAGCCTCAACCACTTCCCTGGGTGGCCTGTTCCAAGGCTTGATAACCCTTTCGGTGAAGACATTTTTCCTAATATCCGATCTAAACCTCCCCTGGTGCGATTTGAGACCATTTGCTCTCGTCCTATCACTTGTTACTTGGGAGAAGAGTCTGACACCCACCTTGCTACAACCTCCTCTCAGGTAGTTGCAGAGAGCAATAAGGTGTCCCCTCAGCCTCCCGTTCTCCAGGCTAAACCACCCCAGCTCTCTCGAATGCTACATACTCTCCAGTTTTGGCTAAGGTTCATCTTCCGAAAAAAGACAAAGATGTACAATGAAATGCTAGTCCCTTATGGTCAAGGCACTGGTCTCCAACCAAAAGAAATGCAAGTATAATTTTTTCTTGGCTACAGACAAGAATATATCCAAATAAGCCTCTCACCTAGAGCCCAGCTGTAGGAACACTTCTGAACGTCCAACAGTGGTCAAAAGTGCCCCTTGCTCATTGAAGCAGACAGGTACACAGCACCTATATCAATTTCTGCTGTAAGCCATCCTTGCCCTATAGATCTTCATACATTACATATAAGCTGATTCTGTTCTTCTGTTTGCATGCACCAAACCCTAGCTCTTGCTTGTGACGTGCTACGTGGACCTATCAAGGAGGGACGGTAACCTGTCTCCTCTCCTGGTGACACTACAGAACCACAGAATCATTCAGGGTGGAAAAGACCTCTAGGATCATCAAGTCCAACTGTCAACCCAACACCACCATGCCTGCTAAACCATGTCCTGAAGTGCCACATCTATACATTTTTCGAACATCTCCAGGGATTGCAACTCCACCACTTCCCTGGGCAGCCGGTTCCAGTGCCTGACCACTCCTTCAGTAGAGAAATTTTTCCTAATACCCAATTTAAACCTCCCCTGACACAGCTTGAGGCCAGGAGACTTCGGTAGTGAAACATTTATAGTCCAAGCAGATGTTTGTATTTTCTCCTGCAGTTAGGGTAATGCAAGAGTTGTCTAGGGCAGAGTTAAAGACTCATCTCCAAGAGTGAAGAAATTCAAAACCTGTCACTCTTTGACAGACTAAGTAAGTACTGTATTCTGCAAAGCAAGCTCTGCTGTGCCTTCATGGAAACAGGAAAGAAAAAAAAATCAAGACACTTAACACCTTCCTGCTGTGACAACGGTACAACCTAAGATGCAAGCAAAAGCAGGAATCCTCAGGAAAATGAGATTCCCAGTTCACACGTCAAAGATTTTATTTTTGAAGGACTTGACAACCTTGTAACAAGCATTCAAATTTTCAGGTTTGGAGAAGCTACAGGGAAGTGCCAAGAAAACAAATCTGAGACAAAAAAACAACTTTTGCTGAGTTTTGGGGGGTTCACAGCTTTATTAATAGTCACCAGAAACAGCAATGGCTGGGCTTTACCATGTGACTCCATACTGATCCACTAGCAACACTGATGATATCCATAGGATGGGATTTGCTATTTCAGGGCAGCAAAAGCTCCCTATGCTTCCTTCAAAAAAAAAGGTTTTTCACTACAAAAATGTATACATCCATGATGACTTCCGTGGCTCAGCAGACAGAAATGACACCACCTCACAGCTCCTTCGCAAGGCATTTCCCTGACCCAGCAGGACCTTAGAATGGCTTTAAGGATTGTTTCTGAAGCTTTTGTAAAGATGGCATGAGTTATGTTTGCTCTTCATCCATCACCTCATCCATCCATCCAGGTTGGATGGGGCTCTGAGTAACATGATCGGTTGAAGATGTCCCTGCTCGTTGCAGGGGAGTTGGACTAGATGACCTTGCAAGGTCCCTTCCAACCCAAACTATTCTGTGATTCTGTGATCCCAC